GAGAAAAAGCAAAAAATCTTAAAACAGGATTACAGTGAGGGTCCTTCATCAGACCGCTCTGTAATCTACGGTTGCCTACTTTCTACATTCTAAACATTCAATTTTTTTAATATTGAACAAACACTTAAACAAGAGACTTTCTAACAAAGGGTGATTGGACAAAGTGACCTTACTGTAGGTAGCTTAAGGGCCGTACCTTGCCTAAACTGTACTGATCCATTTCAGACCACTCGGTGGAAACAGGGCTTATTATTATCTAGTGCAGGGTTCCCAAAGTGGGGGTCCGGACCCCCTTGGGGGTCGCGAGACAAAATGTTAAATTTTATATTTTACCCATTATTGTAAAAGATATACTAAGAAGTATCTGATTTTTGGTTGCCCTGCTCATCATTCCTGCATTGTTGCTGTGAAAAGCAAAGTTTGTCAGTGAATGTCACCGAAGAAAAAAGATCAGAGAAATTGTGAGAGCTGCAATGTAGATGGTGGCTGATATGAGCAAAGTTTGATTCTTTACTGGGGTGAAGTCTGGTTCATTAGCTCTTTCATGACACACACAACATTAACTAATTGGCATGTTTTAATGTTTTTCTTGTTGTTTGTTATGTTGTAATAGCTTTGATTTGAACCGTGTACTTTCGATTAATGTACTTCCCCAAAGTTGGAACGTGATGTTTTGTGTGTGTGTGTGTGTGTGTGTGTGTGTGTGTGTGTGTGTGTGTGTGTGTGTGTGTGTGTGTGTGTGTGTGTGTGTGTGTGTGTGTGTGTGTGTGTGTGTGTGTGTGTGTGTGTGTGTGTGTGTGAGACTAGGGCTGTATGTGCAGAGCCATCTGTTGACTGCTTTAGCTAAAGTCTTCCAGTGCTAAGGCTTATCTGTGCACCAAGGCAACGGCCTACTTTAACCTTCTGCTTTCTCAGTGCACACGAGTTTGGTTGATCACGCGTTCAGCTTAATATAAACTTACATTTTATTTGCAAAAATGTCATTTTTATGATTATTTTATTAAGTGAAATATTACTTATTTTTAAAAACAGTGAAGAACCCTACAATTGACTGACAACCTGACCGGGTATTAACCCTAGATGCACTGATCCACTTTTTTCAGTTCCAATCAGATTTCTAAACATATGTACTGTACAGATAACGATACTGATATTTTTATATCATATCTAATAATGTTATTGGTGTTGTTGGTAGTTTGTGTAAGGTTACACAAAGTATTGCATTGTGCTGGCTTCAACTTACAAACAGGAAGCAACAGCTGTCGGGTTTTTTCAACTGAAGTGTAAGAATTGTAGTTTTTACATATAGAAGGAGCTTTTCCATCTTGTCTGAACTTCGTCATGGAGACGATTTGTTGGCACTTCTTCAGGCCCTGACACACCAAAGAGATCATCGGCCGTCGGTCCTAGTTGGACCGTCCGTGAGCGGTCGTTGCGCTAGTTTTTACAGTGTGTTCCGCTCCGTTGCTACCCGTCTGCCCCGTCAGCCTTTTTTTGGCTGATTCGGCTCTTTTTTGATAAGATGAACTGTATTTCATGCCGTTAATTTAAACCAGGGATTTTTACTTTCTGTGCAAAGTAGAAAATGCTTTCATTTACTTCTTCTTTTGGACAACTCACCAACTGTTTTCTCGCTTAGAATATATTCTCAGTCTGAGTTCAAAAGGGAAAATGTCAACCACAATCACATCACTATTAAAATATGTGATTCTCATATGTTGAATACATACTCAAAGTTACCGTACCAATGGTTAGAAATAGCCCAGCACATTGGCCAACTAAACAGTTGCACTTGGTAGCCCACAATGTGTTGTTAAGGCAGTTTGTAGTTTTTCAATACGTTTTCAGGATGAGAACTGAATACTAAATGTGCTTGTAAGTTTATTTTTACATCAACCGTGCTTTAAGCATGGTGCTTGATGAGTTGCCATTTAGCAGCTGGGTACACCACTATACCACCTGGGTTACACACGTCTCTGCTTGCTTGTTGATTTTTCCTGGTCTCTAATGGCCAGTAGCAGCATCACAGCATCTGCAGTACAAAAAACTCAGTTCATCATGAAGCCTCTGAGTCTACTGCAAGAGACCAGTAAATAGTTTGTGTAAGGGCAGAGGTGTTGTGTGTGGTAATTTGTTTAGTTTTACATTTTTGATAAATGGCTTTTGCTTTTTTTTTTTTTACCTTGCTGTAGGTTCACTTTTAGTATTTGGTTAGATCAATAAATCGCTCTTACTTATCGTTTAAATTCAAAGAGGGAGAACAAGAGGGTGAGAGAAAGTATAGCTATGTTTGCATGGACAACAATAATTTTACCGCTTTTTCCAAACCTGATTCCAAATAATCCAATGAAGGGGGTCATGAGTTTCTTATGGAATATTCCATTCATATTCCTGTTTATAATAAAGCATAATACATCATGCCCATATGTCTGTAGTTCTCTCCAAATTGTGAACTGCAACCTGCATGATGCAACTGTACATCTTTGTGTTTTATTTATAATTCTGCAAAAGTTGCAACTCCAACTAGTTATTTATACGGCTATACAAAGGAGTATATGTCAGGCCTCTTCTGTACTGCTTGTCTGTCATTTATCTTCCTTGCATCACAATGATCACCTCACTACTAGATAAGAATATAATTAAGGATTGCTGGGAGGGAGTAGTTTTATGAGAAATCAGACAACAAAAGGAAAGACAATTTATGTATGTCCCTCAGGTCATTTGTCAAACTGTTTTCAATAATGGCCCCAAGCAAGTCAATGTGGAGCTGTGGAAAATAAAACGTCATCACTAATGCAATTTGGGCTCAAGAAATTAACCTTTTTAGCAAAGCCACAGTATGGTCTCATGCGTATATGGAATCTAATCAAAGTGCAAACCGTAGAGAGGCATGACAAGAACATCACACATCCTGCAGATAATCAGATGCATGATGTTAGCCACATGCCTGTACTTCCACCAACAGACAGATACAGGGACTCAACTACACAGGCTGCTCCTCATATGTTCTGCATGTATGACAGGTATTAATAATTTGGTTTTAATATATTCAGGGAATATATGACAGACACTATTATCCAAGTGACTATAACAAATATTAAAAATATATTATAAGAAATATATTAACAATATCAAATAACATCTGCAGATGTCTCACTGCATAAGCAGGCACTCCCATAAACATTTATATGCAATTGTCTTGTTTAGAAAGAACCTGCACAAGCAGCTTTGTAAATGACTGTGTGAGATCTGATCTTCTCAATGAGTGTGAAGTAATGACACCCTGAGATAGTTTAAGGCTTTGAATGTGTATATCCTACTCTTTCACTCAGGCATATTACTCTGCTATAGCACAGTATTTGTAATGTACATTGGCAAATGAATGTATTCAATGTTATGATAATATAAAACATATTGTTATCACTTTACAGTATGTGTGCTGATATCTGTACTGTTCTGTCAAAGTGTCTAGGAGCGTGAATGATGCTAATCAGAGCTGTTCAATTAGGCTCTTCCCTGAGGTAACAGTAAGGTTTTATTTACTTCATGGTCTTGTCTGTTGTTAATACATCTCCTGATTCTTTTTCTGTGGTAGAGTGGATTGTCTCTCAAGCACAAGGTCTGGGGTTCAATCCATAGCTACTGCAGTCACCTGCCGAGTTGTGGAAAAGACACTGTGTGAATGGATTAATTAATACTGATTATACTTCTTCCTTCCTGTTTTAAGATTAATCAATTCTATTTTATATTCAATTCCATAAAATCAGGTTCATATCTGAATATTACTGTCCATGAGGACGTGTGTTTCAGTGAGAAAGCAGAAGTGTTGCACTCTCCAAATCATGTAAAATGCACCTTGCTTGATTGAGGACATAAGTAAGCCCACACACACACACACACACACACACATTACCATAATCTCTGAGGTGTTTGATTTTCTCATGCAGTAATCAACAGCAGTTTTAAATTAAGGGAGATAACATGTTGTTGGTTGACCTTATAGCACTACATGCACTACCAGCTATACCTGAGTCGACTCTTTAATCTCTGCCTTCTTCTAATCAACTAAATCCTTCCACCATCTTTCTATCCAATCTATTTTTCCGTGCATTTATTTCTCTTTCTTCTTATCAGTTTCAACTTTCTCATGCTAAGTCCTTGTATGCTTTTTCGGTGTGCCAGTTGCTCATCCACTGCAGTTGACATCCTGCTTAACTCTTACATACAAGATAAATTATGTATTGATAGTTTTTCAATCATCAATGATATCATATCTGTGCCATTCTCCCCCTGACCGTTTAATGACAAAGTAGTAGTAGTAATAGTGATTTAATTACCTCCATTTGTGGTTTTAGGACATGGATACACTCTGGTGGGGAAGATCTAACTTAATTTAGATCTGTCATTTATTTGGCTGGTCTGAAAATAAAGATGTGCATGTTTGTCTCTGTTGGACTGTGGTGGTGGTGGTGAGTTCCTTACAGGGTATTGAGGAAGCAGAAATGAGTACATAAAAATAACCACCATACTGCTTGTCATGTTTATTTAATAAGTGCTTATATTCAATGTTAAAGAGATAGTTCAAGTTTTTTTTAAGTTGGGTTGTAAAAGGTATTGTGTACTTTACCCACTTAACAAAGACCTACATCCCAAAATTATTATACATGGAAGTTATGGATTTAAAAAGACAAGGGGCTGTCTTACCTTAAAGAAGTGGTGCATTATTTAACATTGTAATGACTTATATTTATCAAGTACACGTCCTCTGTGTTTGTGTCTTCTGTTCTGTTTCTGTTTCTCAAACTAAAGGCACATTTGTCACTGATGGAGGTGATCCTAAAGTGTGTCTTTCGACACTCTTAACAGATGATCAACAATATATATCTCTTGGGTCTTTCAATTTTGATGTGAAGATATTGTGTTTTCTCTTACCACTATCTGGTGGTCTTGTTTTACTGGTATGGTCTTTGGTAATGGTTTGGGTGGCTTTCCTCTTGCAGTTTGTGTGCAGGCGCTGGATGTGACTGTTTCCCAGAGCAGTATCCAGGTGGCCCGGGGCCAAGCAGCCATCCTGCCCTGCTCCTTTGCCACAAGTGCTGCCCTCAACAACCTGAATATCATCTGGATGGTGATCCCACTCTCCAATGCCAACCAGCCAGAACAGGTACAGTGCGCTTCATTAAGGCTTTCACTCAATTTATTGTTCCCATTATTTTGATACACATGGGTTGATTAGCACTAAGTTGTGCTCTGATTAAAACAATTCAGAGGTTGAAAGAAGGCTTACAAAGTCAAAAGTCAAGAAAAAACTTTGAGCCAAATTCACCTAAACTACTTAAGTTTATAGGATCCATCCAGTGAGATACATAATTTGTCTTTGTGACACAATAAATGACTATGAAAAAAAACCATATACCTTAATAAACATAAATTTGAATTAACTTAAATTGGTTTGATTCATATAAATGTATATATATATATTGTTTTATACATATTAGGAAGCAGTTTTCCTTCAAACAATAGGAGCACCCTGTAGCTTTTTTTAGTCTATTAAAGTTGTTTGAAAAGATTTACAGCAAATGGGAGACCTACATGATTTATATTAAAGTTGTTGCCATTAAGCTTGTCTTATATCAAGTTTAAAAACAACATCTCGTCCTCTTCTGATTTGTTTCTCCCCCCTTGTAGTGCTAATGTGATTCCATTTGAATTGTTTAACGTGCAGCTGCAGGCCGTACAAGCTCACCTGCCTTCTTTCACTTTGAACCCCCACGCTGATCGGCGGTCCAAATAATACAATCATCTTCTGCACTAATTACCTCACGCCTACAATGGGCTCTATTTCACAGCTGTTCTCACCACACACATACATGCACATGGACACACACGAACCATTACACACACACATATACAGGCAAGTACACACATAGACAAGAAAGGGACTGGAGCACCTGCCTGTGTGCCTTCTTTAGTGCCCTTGTTTGGAACAATTATTTACTTTTTGACCACAGCCTGTCGATCAGAATGACTTCAAAACATATGAATAATATCAGGTCTGGAGATTTGTTATCCACTTTCAAATGGGTATATGTACATAGTCACTCCTTCAGTTTGATAATGAGGCAGCTATGAGGAGCCGTTAGGTTCATTATTCAGAACTACCATGCAGATACACATACACATATTAAACCAAAGTCATTCACATAAAGAAAACCACACACATACAAGTAGTGCGCTCATATCCGCTACTAAAAAACTGCTCTCACATACACGCTCGTAAATACAAATGAAAAATATGCTCTCCTAAAACCACTGAAATGTTCTCACATACTCAAATGAAGAGCTCTAATACACACAACTGAAATTCTCTCAAAATAAATGTTTTAATCAACTATTGAAAATCTTTCAGAGTTTATATTGATAAGAAATTCCAATTTACGAATTAGTCACAGGATACAAACGTGGCCACCCTCTCCCCCTGGCTCGAGGTAAATTCTCTGAGTAATATCCTGCTGCGTTCTCATTAAATCACTAGAGGCTGGCAGTAGAAACTCTGCTGAACTCTGAGTGAACAAATTGGCTGTTTGCGTTCACACATACAGCTCCTGCAAATATCAGTAGTCTTTCAGAAGTTTTCTGTGTGTGAGAGCCCATCCAACAAATACACACTGCCCCAGGCCTAACAGCTTTCTCCTGAAGCTTTTGTTCCAGCTAGAGAGTCAAATGAACCCCTGCACCTCGAGGCAGCCATTCTTAAATCAAGTTTTGTGTTTGTTTTGGTTCATGTCACAAAGCTGTTGTTTTGCACAGTGGAAGTAAATACAAGAGTTTTACAGTGAGTTGAACCTGGACTGTGACAGCAGGGATGAAGTAAAGGAGACACGGTGGGGATGAGAAGGGGATGAAGGAGGCATGGTAGGGAAGAAGTGGAGAAGTGTCAGGTTCGATGAAAAAAAAACAAAGAAGAGGACCCAAGTGCAGGATCCAAACCAAAAATATTGATTTAAACTAAAGGCTAATAAGCAGACAAAAACATTCTTAAATGTCCAAACAAAGACTAGACTGGGTAATCAAACATAGTTAAAACTAACAAGACAAAGGTGAGGACAATTAGGCCAATCAAAATAGGAGGAAATTTGTTATTAATTCATAGAAGCTTAACTGGCGTTGGTACTTTTAAATTGTGAATTAAAAGAAACTATAAAGTCAAAATAACGAGAATAGTATAAAAATAAAAAATACTGCCCAATGGCCTATTTCTTGAATTTAAATATGTATGAGTGAGTTTATGATTTTTTAAATAATTTTTCAGTTTATGCACTTTTGGGGGGATCTTAATTTGGAGGGATGAGGGCGCGGTCGCACTGGCCATCTGTACCGTGCTGTACTCAAGCACGATTGCCCCCCCGCTGTGCCATTCCCATGCTGGCCGGCACGGCCCAAAGTCATACTGGCCAGGACTAACCGTGCCTAAGCACGATTACCTCTTGTACATAACGTCGTAATACAACACATGCACGCTTTATGTTATTATGAAGCATGCTCAGTTTACAAACAGGTGGACGAGAGAGAGAGAGAGAGAGAAAGAGAGAGAGAGAGAGAGAGAGAGAAAGAGACGCGCCGTCGAGTCTGCGTCTGTACATCAGAGAAAAACACAGAACATGACAGCTACTTTTCTGACTTTGCAGCTTATTTTAAGCCATTTTAATCAGACACAGCAATAAATAAATGTAAAAAATTAAATAGACGCGCGGCCGAGTCCACAGGCGAGTCAGCGGCCGCACATCGGAGAACAACACAGAGAACATGACAGCTACTTTGTGGCTTATATTGTGTCATTTTAGTCAGATACAGCCATGACACTCTGGATTTCTCCTGAATGAAGGCTGTCAGTGTTGTGTACCCGCATGCTTGTACTCGAATATGAAGTGTACCGTACCGAAGCACACCTCTCCGAAGTGTGCCAAAGCCAAAGAAGTGTACCGATACGGAGCGGTCACACTGGTCAAACGAACTGGACTTTAGGGTTGAAGCGTGCTTGGGCACGGTACAGATGGCCAGTGTGACCGCGCCCTTAGAGTAATAAAGTCTTTAAATTAAAAATGTTAAAGTCTTTAAATGCCTCACTAAAGGAATCACACACCTCGAGCACATTTTTCATAACAACACTCTTGCCTCATTCCCTCATTTGATTCAGAAGTTTGGCATTGGGGAACAGCACTTTTTAGAATATCATCAAATTCATTCCTCTATAAAAAGCAAAATCAATATTATCACATCCAACTTTGAACTTCCACCACTAACCACAGACATAATCAATATCAAAACAAGGAAAAAAATATTATCTAAAATCTACAAAATAATCCTGAAATCTGATCAAACAATATCCGTACCCTTCACAAAATGGGAAACTGACCTCCAGATAGCCCCCAGTGCCGACTTCTGGACCCAAATCTGCAGAAACATATTCTCATATCAAACAATACAAACCTCATACAATACAAGATTATTCACAGAGTTCACTACACGAGTGAGAGGATGTTTAAAATGGGCTTCACTGATTCTAAATTATGCTCACACTGCTCACAAAACACCACAGACGGATACCTACACGCCACATGGGACTGTACACCGATAAAAAAATTCTGGCATGACATCACTGACCACCTTTCTGTACTCTTGAGCTGCCACATCCCATGTTCACCCACACTCTGCCTACTAGGAGACATATCTACCATGAACTTAAATATCACATCCAGCAAAATACTCCTCATAGCTTTAACCATCGCCAAGAAAACTGTTCTCATGAACTGCAAGTCGAGAAAAAAAATCAACATTACACATTGAAAAAACTTACTCACCGAATATATATCAATGGAAAAACTAACTGCCTCACTCAGAAATCAAACTGCCGAATTTGAATCTGTCTGGAACCCAACAATCAACAACCTCAACTCATAACTACCCCCACAACATCCCACCCATCAACTCTTTCTGCCTGTGCACCAATCACACCCAACACACACACAAACAAACACACACAAACACACACACACACACACACACACACACACACACACACACACACACACACTCAATTTATAAGTGACTGCATTTTCATACACTTTTATTTTTTCTTAAAACAACCCCAAAACCCCGGCTGCAGTCAACTTCCGCTAAAACATAATCATTACACAAACTCTCACCTCTCACACCACAACATTGTTTAACATCAACATATTAAACACATACCACTGCTCAACTCTTCAACTCTCTTCCACCTCTCAAGTCCCCTTTACTAAGCACCTTCTCTCCCTCCCCTTATCTCTCTCTCTCTCTCTATTGCTTCTTTCACTTTTTGTATCCTTTCTTAGGTATTTCATATAGTTTTGTATTTTTTCTGTTCGTAGTATGATGTGTGTCTGTTGATGTCTTATTTTGCTGTCTTTATTTGTCTTATTTTTGTATTTTTTATTTTACTGTATTTTGGAGCCGTTGTCCTGACCTTGTCTGTTTGTTTTTTTTGTGCCTGATTTGTATATCACCAGTTTGTCACTTTATTGCACCTAATAAAAAAAAAATTCAAAACAAACCATTGTCTAATATATAATAGGTTATGTGTTGCTTTTAATATTGTAGCAAAAATCTATAACATTTTCAAATACCCAGTAATATGGTATTGTTAAACTTACATTTGTTGCCACGCAGTTATAGTTACTTAACCATGAAAATCAGCATCTTTCTCTTTCCACTTACAAAAATATTATATATATATATATTATATATTATATATATATAATATTCAACCCTCTGTGAGCGGTGAAGTGAATACTGAAGAGAGTAGGGAGTTTTTAGCTGAATTTCTGCAGGTGAGGTGTCAGAGGGATAGGTTCGAGTTGGGATGGTTAACCTGTGAGAAGATTTAATTAAACTTTCCTCCACAGAGGGGAAGTGTAGGCAGGATAGATGACGTGCTTAACTTAGCAAAGTCTACGTCACCAATACTAGAGCGCCCACCTATCGTGCTATGGCCTCCAGTGCAGTTAAAACCCTGCACAAACACACAGACACACACACACACATATATATATATATATATATAATAGAGAAGAGATCCCCCTTTACTTACCTTTCTTCTCTGTACAACACAGACACTAGTTAATATTAGCTCCCTAATATTTTACAAATTTCTGTTCTATAAGCGTGATGGGCATGGTTATATAAGAGTGTTTTGAAGAGGGACCTGATGCTGTAAGTGTGCATTATCCTGGAATGTGTTTTACAAACTTCACTTGATTCTGTGCTTCATATTTTATTCAATTTTCCAATTTTTAACCTTTCAGAATGCAATAAAATGAATTTAAAATATAACTGGCATTCATTTTATCCATTAATTATACTTTAAAATTGTAATGCAGACTCAGCGCACAGTGATGATAATCTGATCATGAAGCCTAGCTTACAATATCCTCAGTGTCTGTTGTCTACACTTCTGTTAACTATCAGTGAAATTTAATAACTCCACATGTCTCTTTTATTACGTTAAGAAAACAGACCAAGCTCAGATTACACACAGATCCTTCTTATGAAATGTTTTTCTCCTCAATGCACTGCATTGTCATAAACTGGCACTTCACATATTCACAATCTGACTTCAAAGATTTGACTTGCCATACTTAGCTTACTCTGTTACTTAATTTAATTTACCTCTATTTATTTGTTTTACGACTCAATTTCTCTGAATTTCACCCTCATCCACTTGATACTTTATAATACACTTTAGGTTTTGTGTACTTTGAATTACTTTTGATATTTATATTTGAAGTTCCTTTGTGCTAATCTTTCTTGTTCTGTAATTGAGCAACATGGCACAGCAATTTCTTTGGAGATTTATAAAGATTTTATTATCTATCTTAAATCTACCACTTGAACAGATAATGAATATTCATTCCATGGGCCACACTTGACATCTGATGTCCCACCCGAACATCCTAAATCAACTATTTGGGCTGATTTGCAACTGGCTGCTAGTACATTTCTTTGTGTATTGTTCCAACAGCACATAACATAAGGACAGTGATACATACCATTTGTAGTGACATGTGAAAAAAATATTTCTGCGAGCTGCATGTGTGCAAGACTTTGGGGATTTGTCTGAAAGTTAAATGAAATAAAGTGCTGTGTTGGGCAACAGTACACGTAGAAGGTCATTTTAGCGGAAGAGAATGTCATAAATGATTACAGTTGAGACTGAAAGCCATAAAGTATTACTGAATAGAACTCTGACACTTGCCTACCCTGGCATACTACATTACTACTTCAGCAAGTCTTCTCAGATGGCTCTCTGCTTAAAGACCATGTGTGGGGGTGCGTGTTGGTTTGATTACTTAGGTTGACAGGACAGATGAATGGATTCCACATGGATGGAAACCAAATCTTTAGGTTATTCAATTCCATTTAATTATTTATCAATTTCTTAATTATCAACATGTGACCCAAAATTGTTTTGTGAAACACAGAAACATTTAATAATAAAAAATAAGTTAATAAATCTATTTTTATAGAACTTTAAATTAATTAGTGTTGTTCATAGCTCATTAAAAAATACTATTTAAAAACATTACAACATAACAATTCAAACATTTAATAAAACTAAGATCAGAAATATGAAACAAAAACATTTTGTGTCACACAAAAAGAATTTGGAAAACGCTAAACATTTCTTGAAACACAAAAACCTTGCATGAAACGCATACATATTTAATGAAACACCAAAAACATTCTGTGAAATGCAAAAACATTTAAGTGAAACACAAAAACATGTAATATAATGCAAAATAATTTAATGATAAACATAACGTGAAACACAAAAACATTAAATGAAAGGCAAAAACATTTAGTGAAATGCCATAACATTCAAGAAAAGTGAAAACATTTTGTGAAACACAAAATATTTTGTGAAACAATGCATTTCATGAAATGCAAACACACGCACATGCACTCACACACACACACACACACACACACACACACACACACACACACACACACACACACACACACACCACAAACATTCACACAGGCATACACATGATACTTTTTTCCCTGCATTGGTTGAGGGCTCTTTTCAGCAAAATGAATAGACCCTCTGATTCCCCTCAATTAGTTGTGTGAATGTGTGTGTGCATTTTTGTGTGAGTTAGCTTTTTTGTGCGTGAGTACCAGATTTATTTGCATGTAGTATGTGTACATGTGTTCCCTATTATCTTTTGTGTGGACCCAGCTGAGGGGTGTGAGTTAGTGCCTGTCTTTTGTGTATGTGCCCAGTGTGTATGTGTGTCTCTTCTTCTTTGGTGTGGCCACAGGATGGGTGATAGCTGTCTCACATTTGAGCTGTTAAAGCTTGTGGCCTGGCAGAACTAATCATTTTATGCATTTTTAATTTGACCAGAGAAAAACCTACCTTCATCTTTAGATGTGTGTATGTTATCTTTGTAGATATTATCATCATTAAGTTTGAATGATTTAGTGCTTTTAAGGAACATTTAATACATAGCATTTGTTGGGACCATCATATTGCAGATTTTATGTTTTCTGTTTCAAATATTTTCAATTTAGAGGTAACACTTTACAATAAGGTAAACAAATGTTGCATTGTTACTGGGGAACAATTGAGAAATGAACTACTAATTAACCATTAGTTAATGGGTAGTTAGTGACTCCTCATCACATTTTATAGAGTAGCTAGTGATTAGAGAATGAATGCCAAATGCTGAATGTACTTGATTTGCATACTCTAAACCCTAGAATTGCTGAATTTTAAGTTAAAAGATTTTTGTTTGTCTTTTTGTTAATTTCTCTGGAAATAAAAGCCTGACTGCTCCTTTTCTTTCTCTGCCAATTGTCAAGCTTTTCCAGCCTCTTAGTAGAACAATGTCTCCCTCTAGTGAGAGACATTTTAACAAGCCAGTTAAGAGAAGTGCACTGATACAATGAAAGACCTTATCAAGTTCTACGGTTAGAAAGACTGGCGCCATATAGAATAGAATGCCTTTATTGTCATTATACATTATATGACTATATATATAAAGCTTCACCTTAAAGTGCACACACAGCTACCTACAACAAACAACTTGCATTCAGTTAAGATGTGCAGTGTGTTTGTAGAGAGTATTTACAGCAGGTAATATATATGTGTGTCTCTACAGTCATATGTGTAAAGGGAGTGGGCTCAGCACACACTCCTGTCGAGAGCTGGTGCAGAGTGTCCAGGTGGAGGAGACAAACAGTCTGGGGACAGTTTGTGAGGAAGTCTTTTATCCATGAGCAGGTGTATGAGTGGAGGCTTAAGTCATACAGTTTTGTAAGCAGAATGTCCGGGATGATTGTGTTGAAGGCTCAGTTTTAGTCGATGAAAAGTAACCTTACATCCTGATGTTCCAGGTGGCTCAGTGCAGTGTGGAGAGCCATGGCTAGGCGGTCCTCGTGGATCTGTTTGCTCTATAAGCAAACTGGTGTGGGTTGAAGGTCTGAGGAAGGCTGGCTTTGATGTGGTGTAAAACCAGCCTCTCAAAGCACTTCATAACGACCCGTGTAAGAGCGACTGGAAGGTAGTCGTTGAGGCTGTCTGTGGATGAATTCTTGGGCACGCGGATGATTGTGGCTGATTTCAGGCAGGATGGGATGGTGGCTTGTGACAGGAAGTGGTTTAAGATGCTGGTGAAGACTTGTGAAAGCTGGTCTGCACTCCAGCTGTTTGTGCTCCTGTACAGTGAGGGTGCTATGGGTTGGTGGAGGCTGTGTGGTGCTGGGTTGTCTCAAACCACGCAGAGAAGCAGTTGCCAGGTGTGATGTTGTAGTCCCTGAAGTTTGTGATGTACTGTATACCTTGCCACACCTGTTGTTACTTGAGGTGGTCTTCTATCCTCCTTTTGTAGACCGCCTTAGCATCCTTAATGTCTCTCTTCAGGTCGGCTCTAGCAGCGCTCTAAAGCACTCTATCACCTGACCTGAAGGCAGAGCTGCATTCTGACCTGGCTGGTCATCCAGCGTCTCTGGGTGGACAAAACCTGGATGCATTTTTCAACAGTGACATTTCCAATGCAGTACTTGAAGTAAGTCAGTACTGTCTCTGTGTGTTCAACCAGGTCTTGATGTTCAAATACATCTTACTGGGTGTTTACAAAGCAGTCCGCTAGCTGAGAAAGTGCATCCTGAAGTTGTGACAGTCTTTGTAAGGGGTGTCCTCCTGAGAGGGGTGTAGGGGGGAAGGAGTAGAGAAAGGTGGTCTGACTGGCCTAGGTGAGGGAGAAGTGTGGCTCTGTATGTCTGTTTGATGTTGGAATAAACATGATCAAGTGTATTTCTCAAGTGTAGAGGAGGCTTGAGTTTCAGCAGGAGGCCTGCTGTCCCCGATAACAAGCCACGGGGTACCTGTCGCAACGTTGTATATTCTAAGTGCAATGAAAAAGTCAGCTGTGATAGGTAACTTGTGCCGAAAACCAATACCAAGTAAGTCCTGGAAGCTGTAGCAGCGGTTTGCATAAGTATCCAAAAAAAACACAAACAAAAAACACAGAAAATAGCACAAAAAGGGAGATCCGTGCTGGAAAGGGGCCTCATATGTTACAATACTTTGACAAGATACGCTGTTTGATTTTAATGTGTCTGTCGGCCTTTTCCCCATCCAGGTGATCATTTACCAGGGCGGCCAGGTGTTCAGCCTCGCCAACCATCTCAATGGTCGTGTGGGCTTTGTGGCCACCATGCCAAGTACAAGTGCCTCCATCTTCATCAACAACACCCAGCTGTCTGACACTGGGACGTATCAGTGCCTCGTCAACAACCTCCCAGACAGAGGGGGGCGCAACATTGGCGTCATCGGGCTCACTGTGCTAGGTAACCAACTGCAGGTCACTACAGAGTATTGTTTTATGATTTAAAGAAATTAGACAAGAACAGTTTCTCATCTAAAAGAAGATCATCTATTGCGATACACTTTTTGGTGCTTGGTTCAGTTCTGACTAGTAGATGCTTTTTTTGCAATCAGTTAAATTGAATTGTTAGTTAAGGTTTATGGGAAAAAGGCTTTTATGTCTGCAAGAACTGCTTCATGTCAATCTGTTTCTATTCAGTTTTCACTATTTACATTTTTTAACCTTCGATGTTGGTTGTTCAACCACATTTTAGTTGGTAATGGCAATCAATTCTGTCGGAGTCAAAATAATTGTCAATCATGACAAAAATGTAAAAGGTAGAATCTCTAAATCTAAGAGGAAATTTCCATGCATGTATAGTTGGATTTATGGGATTCCATAAAAGTGATATTTGCTCTGCAGTAGGAAAACATTTGATTTGCTTTGTAAACACATCACTGCTTACACCCTCCTCTTCTGCCAGTGCCGCCCTCAATGCCATCGTGTCGAATCCAGGGCACGCTGGATGTAGGCAGTGACATCATGCTGATCTGCAGTTCAGAAGAAGGAATTCCCACACCGTCCTACTCGTGGGAGAAGCTGGATGCGCTGCCAAAACTGCCGCACAACGCCATGCAAGGTATTACAAACAAGCTGGCCATCGGAGTACCTTTTTGCCCCACCTTTGCTGGTAAATCTGACACACATAGCTCAGACTAAACAGCTCCATCACCGCCACCTGTCATGTGCCAGGCCTCAACTACTGCCCGACCCCCGACCCCATGATCCTGCTGAGGGCATTTTTAGTTTTTGCAAAATAATGTTATGATATAATCTTTTACAAAATGTTCTCTAACACATTCTTAAATTAGTTAAAAATACATTTTTCAAAAGCAAATCTCACCCACACTCTAGTGTTGAGATTACAAGTTTATACATATGCACCTGCTAAATTAACATGAAATTGAATCCCTCTATATGAAGCAGTGCAAAAAAAAACTGTTAGCTTATTACAACTTGATAATATTCCTTGCATGATACACTCTTTTAACACTTAGACTGCCCAGCTACCCTGTTTCCACATAATTGAGAAATCCAAAACAGGTTGCCTATTTCAGTCAGTTCACTTGTAGTAGCACAGAAAACCCTTTGGTAATGTCAGCCAAACAACCCAAAAATGCCAGAGTGTTGATACCTTTCTGTCAGTACAAAATCCACTTTTTGCCAAGGTCCTTCAGAGGCTTTTAGCTTTCACGTTTAAGAGCAAAGCGGCAAAGCGTCTTCAAGAACTTCAGAATTGTGATTTACAATCTATGGCTACCTTTTGAGTGACAGCACTACTTTTACTTGAAGAAACAGCTGCTACAATGGCAATTCAAAAGGAACAAAAATTCAGGGTTCTAAAGAGCCTAACATGAGTGTCTATCTATTGTTTACATGGCTGCATGTCTCTCACCAAAATTTAAGTTGCATTTGGGAAAAACAGGAAATCCTCAATATTGTTTAACGGTTACGTGTTTCCCCTTCTACCCACCTTTTTGACCAATCAAATCTTTCACATTGGAAGAGTCATTTGTATTGGTTCTCTGTTTTACATTTTTCTGCTTCTGTTTTTTTAACATTTGATTCAAACCAAAATGCAATCTTGGATTTTTAAGCCACCCTCTTTTTATATCGGTTTAGTTTAAGTGTCATTGTCAGGAACAGAGGTGAAAATGTGGATCTCTTCCTGTAAATCATGAAATGTTGACGCCTTTTAATGAATCCATTAGGCTCCCAACACAACTCATCATGTGATAGCTGACTCAACTATTCTTCCATTGAACTTATTTTCACATGAATTATAGAGTTCAGTATGTTTAGTTGATTTTTTATATATTATCACACAAATATGATTACATAAAAACTGAATGATTTTGACTTTATTTTAAAGAACACAGAGTAGTAAGTCTGAACGCCTAATGTTCACAATGTTCAGAGGCTAAAGTCCTTGAAGTAGGAAGCCCGGGTTCCAATCCAACCTGTGGTTCCTTTTCCGCATTTCATTCCCCTCTCTCTCTCTCTCTCTCCCTGATTTCTGACTCTATTCACTGTCCTGTCTCTCCATTAAAGGCATAAAAGCCACATTTTGCCATATGTGTATTGGGCTTGTGCTTTAATCACCTTCCTTACCATGTGGCTCACTGTGTGTTCATCAGATCAGATGCAAGGCACTGTCACGCTGAGAAATGTCAGCACCAGCACATCAGGACTCTACCAATGTACCTCCAGCAATGCAATCGGCAAGAGCAACTGTTTGCTCAACCTGCAGGTTGTAGCCCGTAAGTTGTTGGCCATGAATGTCTAGTGATTTACATATGTGTGTGTGTGTGTGTGTGTGTATATATATATAGATGGAAAACATTTCAATCTCAGGAGCACACTCATTTAATATGAAAAACAATTATCAAATTTATTATTATCAAATAGATAACTTTGGCCTATATGGTATTTTTTTCTAGGCTGCGTAAACATAGTGAAATGAAAACGACAGATATGACAAAGGAGACACCAGACAGAGTGTTGGTGGTCAGAGCGTCAGACGAACATTTAGCAGGTCAATAGTGTGTGACTGTTGAAATGCTTTCCTGTAATGCATGCAATGAAAGTACCTAGTATTTCACCTGTATACTTAGAAACACTTAAATGTATAGAAGAGTAAATGTAAGTTTAAGATAACTGCTGTGGGAGGAGGATACACTACTACTAAACAAGAAGGAATATGCTCTACTATATTACAGCACTCTGAACATTTACTTTTGACAGTAATAGAGGCAGAGGGTAGTTTTTAGTAATACAGCTTTACAGGCCTGACTGTACCATGACAATGTGTGACAGTATGATTTTTAGAGTCCAAATGAAATCAGACATTAGAATGACATCATTAACTACTGAGTACTTCTGTCACTCAGCAGGAAGAGCCAAAAGAGTGTATATCTGTTTCAGTCTTTTTAATGTAGTTTACTCAAGTATTAAACTGATTCAAATTGTAATTTCACATATAGAAAGGTACTTTGAATGTATTATTGTAACAGTAGTCATCTCGTAGTTTAGGGTCAAACTGTATTTCATTTAAAGTCTTATAGTAACTTAAGGTAAATTGCATGATGACGCATGAGCCAAAATCAAAACAAGCTCTCTCTTCAACATACTGTCATTTATTTGTAAAATGTTTGTGACACTTGTTCCTCACATTCCTCTGCCCTGCAGCCCAGCCTCAGAGTGTGGGACTTATAGCAGGCACCATTGCAACAGGAGTCCTAGCTGTCATCATCTGTTCCCTGTTAGTGGTGGTCACACTCTTCTACTGGAAGAACAAGAACAAATATGAGGAGGAGGAGATCCCAAATGAGATCAGGTTTGCCTTTTATTTGTCATTGAGCCCAATATAAGGAACTACTTTAATCGCCCAAAGCCTCACATTTCAGAACAATGATTTATCTTTTATATTCATTGAGTTAAATAGTTCTTTTAATGATATGAAGCTGTAACATACCTACACCTACATAATTACCCCATTACTCTTATTGTTCCCTTTCACTGCACAACTTTGATTCCAAAATAGTGGTGATGCTGTGGACAAGCAGCATAAAACAGATTATGAGGGCGCTGGTACAGAGGCTGTAGCCCTTAAAGCGGGCTGCCTGTGGCTACTTCCTCACATGCCATACCCTTCTCTCTTTCCCCGTTTTTGACTGTATTAAGTGTCCTTTCTCTCCAATAAAGGCACAAGAAGCCCAATAATACATCTAAGAAAAAGAATATGATCATTTTCAAAATATTGAAACCCCATATTTACTTGAAAATAGCACAAATACAACATGCCAAATATTGAAACTGAGAAATGTATTGTTTTTTTTAAATGATATGGCCATTTTCATTTTGATGCCAGCAAAGTTTGGATGACATACCCACTGTGTTACAACAGAGCTACATAGAGAAGCTCTCGATTTTTAATCTGTCAAAAAAAAGATTTGTGCTAAATATCATCAACTTACTTTCAGTCTTTTCTTATAATATCTTCATTATACAAACTTTTATCTCCTTTTCAGAGAAGATGACCTCCCTCCCAAAAGGTCATCCTCAGTAAAGGCTTTCCATGCCGACGCCTCATCTTCAGAAAATGACACTCTGACATCTACCAACACATACAACAGCCGCTACTGGCACAGCCCCAAACCCAACTATGACACCAACTCCTACACACGCTACAATGGAGACACTCGCCATAACTTCACCACGACTGGACAACAAGCGCATGGAGAAAACACAGGACATATCCAGAGTACAGTGGTCACAGCAGCAGGTTCAGCCCCACCAGCCCGCCACATGCAACCCACAACAGCAACAATGCCAGCATTTGCAAATGGCAGCCACACGTTACCACCTCCAAAGACTTTGGTTGTCACTACAAACTCCGCCCCTTCACCTCCTGCCATGGTGCGTAGCAATGGCTCTGTGAGTCTTAAACCTGTGGTACCTTCCCCTCATGGGCAACACACACACTCCTTCGCTGTGAGCCAAGCCACCCTGGAGCGGATGGGGGCGGTGCCTGTCATGGTGCCTGCCCAGAGCCGAGCCGGTTCACTGGTCTGAAGTCTGAGTCACTAAACTTAAAAGCTCTACTTTTTGAAATCCACTGATGAAAACCAGAAAATGGAACGATGCCTACAGCTGACCCTTTAAACTCTATCTTTGGACATGTCTTAAACTATTTATCTTAAAACAAACTGCTGTTTTAAAGTGCACAGTTAATTTAATGCCAATTCTTTATAGGAGTGGACCCTCAGTGGACAAAAGCACTACGTGGGGTTTGATCGTCTACTTATTGGATATATTTTTCCTAAGGTGTGGTTGGAAGTATTTTTTAAAGAAAAAAGTCAAATGTCCTGCAAAAAAGTAGGTTCAAATATTTTTGTCACAGCTGGCTCAGTGTGATTATTTTGGTTTCTTTTTTATTTGTATTTTTTCCAGAAGCATAATGTACTTTCATTTCAATGTATCCATACTGCATGGTTAGACAGAAGCAAGCAAGGATTCTTACATAAATGCATGTTTTATTGTCAATAGTAAAAGTGACATGTTTAAAAGTCTGGAAGAACATCTGAGGGAGGAAAACCAAGATATTATTATGGTGGAGGAAGCTAAGAGAGCTGCAATACATTGCATATATTATATTATGCTTTACTTATCTTTGTTAAGATCAATTGCTGTCTTATTTCTCACACAGTGCATCAATTGAAAGTTTTATCAGCACACACAATGAATATTGGAGAATTTGCAAAGCATTGACTTTGATGGGAAAAGCTCCTGAATACTTTTCATAACAGAAAGCTACCGTCCCTTTGATTTAGCCCTGAAGTTCAAGTGATTGTCAAAGTTTTTACTGTGTTTATCCTTGCAGTTGTTTGAGACTCATGTCAAATAATTGCTGCTTTAAAGAGAAGTGGATTCAAGGTTGTTTCTTGTCGGCTGAGGGTTGTAACTAAACGAGTGGGCTGGATTTTGAATTGAAGAAAATGTATCAGATGTCTGACTGAACCATATTTGTCAACTCGTGTCTTAATTTTGATTAGACTTTTCCCTTGTTACAGTACACAGCAATGTGTTACAAAGTCTTTTATTGTATTTGACTGACAGTCTTTATATTTTAACCAAACCTAACCATAGTAAAACAGTGTGTTTTCAATTGATTAATCCTCATTCATTATTGTGCATCTAAATGGACAATAATCATTTCTTGTAGCCATTATAAAGTATCTAATGCAGCAATCTTTTGTGGTACATCCAGAAGTTATATTTTTAAATACTTTACTAATGCCTGAGAGGAAAGTTTTGTTTCCCACTTTGTTATTGAGACATGTTTCTCACACACGACTGCTATGCGCTCCCAGTGCACACACCTCAGCAGTCCTCGGGAAGTGACCCGGCTCCTCTCCAGCAACCAGACCAACCTCCATCCTGTGGTCCATACCGGGACTTGAACCCTCCAGTTCTCAACCCAAGTCCTTACAGACCAAGCGACTGCCCCCCCACACAGTGTTTTTAAAGGACTTTTCTTTATATTTGTGCTTCTTCTTTGATTTAAAGTCTTATTTAACAATTGTATGTGCTAACAGCTCCATGTTGAACTAAAATAATCCCATGATGATGATGGATTGTGTCCAGATGACTTCTCTGATGAAACTCTTTGTATGACGGGATAGTTTCATGTATGTCTTCATGCAGTTTCCTTGTCGGTGTAAGATCCAGTCATATATAAAAAAGAAAGCTTTCAAGCCTTTTCAGCTCATTTATGTAGCTTGTTGTTTTAAACTTATATCATAAGTGATCTAAATTCCCCTTAATCTCAACAAATACTTTGGTAAAATGAGCAATAAATACAAGCCAAGCTGCTGCACTTTTGGGTTACTGATTTCATTCCATAAATTTACACAATAGAACATCTTAGTAACATTTATTTATATACTTTGGGACTGAGCTATGGTCATTTGGTTAAGTCCAGCTGCAACACACACATAAACACACATACACGCACCGATTTATGAATACAGTTGATGGGGGGGGGGGTCAAATTATGAAATATCAGTCCACTTGTTAATTTGTATTGAAAATATTTGTTTTACTTTTTCCCTGAGACAATTCCAGGCTGGAAGAGCATAGTCTTAACTTTATCCTCTTTTTGGAGAAGCAGTGATATTGTGCAATCACCTGAAAACTAGATTTAAATGAAATACACATCCTCTATCCAGCCAAGGTTGGTGAGTGGCACACCTAGTGTGATATTGGCTCTGTGTGTGAATAATGACATGTAATATATTGCCGATTGTAAAACTATGTGTAAATATAAGATTCATCTTCTTAGTGTTATAGGTTAAAATCAAATAGGAAAAAGTAACACTGAAAAATGTAGTGAATAAATATTATTAATACAGTCCAGCTGGTATCCTATTTTATTTACTTGTTTGTTTGTTGTATGTTTTAGTTTGAATGATACAAATGTTCTGCCTTGTGTCTTAAGAACATTACAGTACATCATTATAAATGATAATCTTAAAATAAATAAAATATGCTATTCAGACCACAATAGTGGATGTGAATAGAAATATGTAGAATTATGCAATAAAAAAAAAGATTATTGCGAATATGAAAATGTAATTGTCCAAAATCTCTCTTAAAAGTAAAGATAGATTCAGGCCCAGTATGTGAAAGAATACCATCCTTCAAAACAAACATTTAGTTGGGAAACTTTCTGTTAAAGCTGAATGTTTTATAAAGCCACGTGATGTCTTTGACTATAACGCATTGAATACTTTGTTGTCAAAGCAAATGTCTGAGTAAAATCTCAGGGTGCAGAAATATAAATTCTGATGCCTATTCACTAGGTATAGAATGTCAAAATTAATTTAGGGATCTAGGGATGAAGGGGGTTCGTATTGTGTTAAAGAACCAGTGTGCAGTATTTAATGATGATTACAAAGGATTACATCTCATCCAAGAAAAAACCTCAAATGTTACAAAATAAAGACAACGCAAAAGTGCAAACAGCAGTTGTTATGTGTCCACCTTTAGCTATGTTTATTTCCATGATCCATATAGTAATGTATATTCTATTACAGTCAATACATTACATAAAGAAATGTTCTTACATCATTTAAGGCTTCAACTAGTAAATGAATTGCCTTGTTACCGCAGGCAATAATACAGCAATACTTATTTCAAATATGGATGTTGCTTATCATATTTGAACATCCTGTACTCAGGAGCTGTACAACCAAACCATATGTTATGCATACAAGCTGTGTCATTCTTTAATATCTGACTTGTTTAGGCTCAAGCACCCTGCCAAAAAGCTTTTAAAAAGCACCTGCAAAATGTTTGAAATTCTTTATTATACAAATATCAAATTTGTTTATAATTGAGTGTTCTAAATGTGTTAGTGAAGAGAATTCATCAGGCTGGTTAGAGCTTGTAAAAGTATATACTGACACCTAGAGGCACATGTAAGAACTGGATTGTTAGCAGGTGCCGTTAGATGAAAAAGTCAAAGAAACATGAACTGAGGCTCATGGAATTCTACCTTTAGTTGGACGCAAAATTATTTTATCATGTGGTAAGGCACAATGCTTGCTGTTAGGCCAAGTCTTCACCATTTCATCTTCCGAGTACTACAATTTTTTACCAAGCAAGGTAAAAATGTTTTAAGCCTGCTTGGTTTCACAAAAAGACAAACTTTAACCAAAGCATTGCAAGACCAAGAAATAAAAGCAGTTTATTACAGTAATAGTTACTTTACTCAACGAATCAACATCTTTTACTTCCTGTTACAAGTGAAGTAGCCTAATTCAACCTTTGGAGTTTTGAGATGAATACTGAGGCGAATTGAGAGAAAGCAGAACAATCTGTTTGAATGTTCACACCAGCTAGGGGTTCAATTAGCTTACTTATAGTAATTAAAATTAGTGTTTTACACTAGTGACAAGAAAGGCTCATGTTTCTCCTACAAAGTTGACGACAGTACCGAGGCTGAAATTTAAAACATCAAAAGTTGAGGCTTTAAATCATTAAGGTGCAACAGCCAGGAGGCTGTGGAACAGTTGGTAGAGTCGTTGCCTCTCAACCAGAAGGTCAAGGGTTCAGTCCCCATCTGGGCAACATGTCCAATGTGTCCTTGGGCAAGACACTTAACCCTGAATTGCTCCCACTGCTTCAGTGGTAGTGTATGAATGGCATTTGTTACTTCTGATGGATGATGCTACATAGTGATCACTACCATCAGTGTATGAATGGGTGCATGTGACATGTGGTGTAAAAGTGCTTTGAGTAGTCTGAAGACTAGAAAAGCACTATATAAACTCAGGTCCATTTACTATATCTCAAGGAGTGGCAGTCTTTACATTAACCACACAGGGGTTAACATGGAAAACTCCCCTTGAATTAACTACAATAGTTTAATTTAAAGACAAAATAGGAAGGGAGATTGAGACTGATCTGCTTGTTACTTTTTAAGTTACCTGTTTGTTTGATTTACTTTTCTTAGTTTTCAAAGCACTTTGTAAACTTGTGATTTTTGATGTGCTTTATAAGTATGATTATTATTGGCATATAGGTAAACAAGCAAAAAAAGGCAGTGACTATCAATTAATAATACACACACAAATATATTGTATGTAGGCACACACCAGTATACTTTCCTTTAAATAGAAAGCTATTTTAGCCATGAACGTTCAGATGAATCTGCATCTTTGATAGTCATGTGGGTTTATTTAGGTCACACAGGGCAGTGATACAGACTGCAACATGTTGTGCAGGCTTCCAGCCACATTGAATGATGCATCTAAAACAGAAAAACTTGAACAAGTCATTGCCACTTGGTAGACGAAGTTCAAACAAGCTTCAATCATGCAGCGCAGCTCCATTTGTATCTTTGTTTCTTTTCTTTTTTTTTTTGCTTATTTTTTGTGCCGCAAATGCTTGCTGAAATGCAAGACAAATTTTTGACTATGTCTGACAATAAAGTTCTATCTATCTATCTAAAACAGCAAATAGGTCATACGTGTCACATTCAGTTATATGCTTGTTATTAAAACTATCAAGAGGTGAACAAATTCCAACTTTTCTATTCCAACGTTCCTACAAACAAATCCAGCAGATGGTGCATCTCAGGGACAGACTGTGTATGAGCTACTCACAGCCAACTGGTTCAATATTCCCTTGTTCCTATGTGAATAGGAAAAACCTACACAAGAGGACGTAGCTCTCAACTTAAACAGGAGATCCAGAAGTCAGAAAAGTCCAAACGCTGCAAACAATGTCCACAGCTGACCGTCTGTCCAAGTTCTCATCATGGTCCCAAGAAATCGAGGCAGTGGCCATTCTTCTGTGTCGGGCTCAGAAAATCAGATCAGACGATCCTGTCACAGTAAAGTGAGCATGAAAAAGCAAAGTCACATATACATGTAGATAGTACAGTATTCCAAATTAAAGACTGTTATACGACTTGTTACAACAGCGTTATGTTTACAGCACTAGACTGCTGGATGATACTACAGACAGAACATGCTTTGGTCCTGTGTTATTTCCTCACCTGAAGAGGCCGTGTGTTGATCATTGAAACCCTAGATCATACTACACGGTGTCAAAAGTGGCCCGTGAGTCACGAAAATTAACTAAAAAGGAGGGTAGGCCACGGAATGGCGAAGTTTAATCCCCCAGCGAATTTTGCCTTTGACAAGCCGACTGAATGGCTCAACTGGAGACAATGCTTTGAGCGGTACAGGCAAGCTTGACAAAGACAATGGAAAAGTGCAGGGGAGCTGTATTAAATATACATATATAAATGGTTCACTTTTGCTGAAGACGGACATAGAAACAACTTTGTGGTGAGAAAGTTCCCAAGGAAGAATATTATCCACGGGAGGGCGTGTTCCCACCAGGCCAGGGTAGAAATGTTTTATCCGAGCCCTGTATGATCGATCAGAGCACTGTTAGTTTGTTGCCAACTGAGAGGAAAATATCTGCAACCTTATTGTCGTCGGGATGTGAGATAAGGAGCTCTCGCGCAAGCTGCAGCTGATGGTGGATCTAACGCTTGCACTGACTATACAGTCCGTTAAAAGAAATTTGGGAAAGCCCAGATTGTCAGAGATGAAGGGTGCCCTGCAGTTAAAGCTACATGCCACAACTGCCATTA